CACTTGGCACTGAAGAACGTCACAAGCAGCAAAAACTGTTTTGGTCTTTGAATTTCTTGCCTCAGAAAATTAAAGCCCATCAACACACAGGACAAGAGCAGCTCACAAAGAAGCTACAGAGGTACTACCAGCTTTCTTCTGGCACCGAGGTATTGCACAAGCAGGATCTCAAGGTGGGGGGCTTTGCTTTGCTGTCCTGCCATGGCTGTGCTGAGTCTGGACCCAACAGGCTTGGGTAATTTTGGTTGGATATAATTGTTAGCTAAGTAATTATGCCCCTACTATCCCACATTCTCACAACAGGACAGTGGGCTGAGGTGCAGGAGAAAGCCTAAAACCAGCTGGGTTCATCCTTAAACTGACACCCGGGTTAAAAGCAGGGGGGCAAAGCAATAGCTGCTGGTGTTTGGAGCAGGCTGGAAAGGGGCTGGCAGGGCACAGAGGAAAATCTCACCTGAATAATGCTCAGCACAGGCATTATAAGCTGGACAGGTGAAGGTTTATTGCCTCACACTGCTGTCCTACCATTGCAGAGGGATTGGAGAGACAGACAGACCAACCAGGGCTTTTGCACAGAGCCAAGGACAGGACAGGAGCTGAGCAGCGTCACTTATCACACCCCTTAACTCAGACACAAAAGTGAATTTTCAAAAAAAAAAAAGCTGCAATGGGTTTTGATATTAAATTAGAAGCAGGGGAAGGGACAGGGGGAAAGGTGTTTTCTTTTCTCATGCCAACTGAAGGGCCAGGACATCCAAAAATCCCAGGGGAGCTGCCCCGAGGCAAGCACAAGGTGAAGCACCCAGAAGGACAAATGTTGCCTTTGTGCACTACGACCCCCCCACCTCTGTAAACACCACTTTGAAACCACCCCGGTCAGGAAATTCGGAGGGAGGGAGGCCGGCCGGCCCCCCCCAGCACAATCGGTGCATCCACTTTCCATTAGGGTATAGGAAGCTTCGGGAGTCCAACATCCCAGGCTGACATCAAACTGCTAAAACAGGAGTTATCAGATGGAACGCGTGGGTCAGCATTGTGCCGTGAGACATAAAAAGGACCTCGGTATTAATGTGAGGAAATGTGACTATTGTGTGCAGAATGATACCCATTCAGGCCCAGACCACTTGTCTCTGGACACTACTCTCCCTGGAATATCCTTGGCGCCAGCATCTAGCTTTTCTCCTCGTCCCCTTAAAAAAAAAATAAAAGCCCTCTCGGCAGGAGAAGTTGAAGCACCGTGTTTTGCTGCGGCGGTGGCGGGCGTGCACGTGCGTGCTGCTGGAGCAGATTACAGGAAACTGTTGATTCTCCATATCTAGGAAGGATCAATTGTCCGGAGGGGTGGAACAGGCTTTAATTTCTCGTGAAGCGTAAACCGTGTTCCGCTACTTCCCCCCCTTCCCTCTCCGACAAAGCCCCGGCCTGGCTGTGGATTGGCTTTGCGCTGCCAGCGGGATTTTGTCTTCTCTCCACCCCAAAAATCTTGCTCCAGGCACCCCCCCCTGCAGCTGAAGCCACCAGGACGAGCATCAGCTGCAAGTAGCAACGCATACTGCAAAAAGTTCAGCAATGACAGCTCTGCAAATCCCTGGGAAACCACACCCTGAAAAAACCACGCAAGCCACTACTGAAATCTGGGGTAGGAAGAGAAGGCGAACTCCAAGCTGCTTGAAAAACCCTAAGCTGCAAGAATCAGGTCTGAAGCATGAAAATACTCAGCTGCCTGGCTACAGGGAGCTGCCAAGCAGATCAGGGTGTACCACAGCTGCCTGCAAAGCAGCCTCCCTGTGCCTGTTGCAAACCCACTGCCAACTTCCAGGCTACACCTAAACCAAGTTTCTGTATTGGTTTGCAGGGATTTATTTCCAAGGGTGCTGCGGATGAAGCTACCCCCTAGTCTGATGTTTCTGCAGCAGGCTGAAGCAGCTGCAGAAAAAAAAAATGAAATTCACATCCAGATAGCACTAATACAGAAGGCTTAACACACCTCGGGGTAGGTGAGAATAGGAAAGGAGTTTTAAAGCCAGGCGAGGGAGCCTGCAAGACACTATCTGGCTAGCCTGGTGGTTATAAAATATTCAGGGCTTGTAGCACAGGTCTGGAGAGGAAAAAGGTTCTCCCAGCCTGCATGGTAATTTGACGATTCCCCCATCCTCTGGTATGAATCCCCAGGGACTAGAGCACCAAACTTGATTGATTTTCCACCTGCAGCACAAGAAATACCCCTCTGCTCCTGCAGCAGGGATTCCCTGTGTCAGGGATGTCAGGGGAGAGGTACTTCATCCAGGGCAGGACTGCAGCACCAACTCCTGAAAGAGCACATGCAACAGGGTACAGACCTAACGTTTTACTTGTATGTGTTTATTGCTACCTCAGCACACACCTTAATCTCTTTAAAAACCATCTTGACCTTCCCCAAAAAATGCAGATCCCAAATCCAAGACCAACCAGCTTCAGATGAGACCTGCCTTCATATGGTGGAGCTACTAGCACTTGCTGAAAGCAGACGTCTTATCAAACCCTAAGCTGGAAGGCTCAGAGGCAGAAGAGAATAAAAAAAAGCATTTCATCAGCTTCCACAAGGAAGCAATAAAACACCCGGGAGAAAGGACCCAAGTGTCAAGACATAGAAACATTTCAGAGCCTGTGAATCTGCACCAATCTGGGCTCAATATTCAATGCAACAGCAGCCAGTATTAATAAAAATCAGACAGGCCATACCTTACCCCCTAAATTTCTTCAGGCTTTCCTGGTTTACACACATCTGCGCACACAGCCCAGCGTTTTATGACAATGGTTAATTGTCAGAGTTTTATGGGCCGTGCTTGGTTTTGTTGGCTCAATGTTTAATCCCACGCAGAGCTTTTTAAAAACAGTATTACAGTGAAGTGCATCCAATTACGCTTGCAGCAAGCTGTACATCCATCATGCGGAGATTAACAGCTCGACAGGATGATGGCAGAGCTGTCACCGGGTCTGTGATTCGACTTACGTTGCCTGCCAGCACCCAGCCCCTGGGGTACCAACTCATCCCCTCCCCAAGGGAGATTTTTGGATTTTGTTAGCCCTGTGCTAAGGTAGGCAGGAACCTTGCAGCAGCTTGCCAGAAAAGGTGCCAACAAGTGAGAATCATGACACTACATGTAGCCAAGAAACTAAACTGATGACCAGAAGAACCATCCACAGGCTCACAGATACTACAGAGCTGCATTTTTTCTCAGGTTTTTCCTGCAGGAGACTGAACAAGTGTATTTTAAGCAGTGAGTGCATCAAATGCTAGGGACCAAGTCAATACAGACAGTGCTGGAGGGCTTTCTTCAGAAGATGGCCCATGGTTGGGGTCCCTCAATGGGTTTCATGACAACATCATTTCTGGAAAGAGCTTAGACTGTGAATTGAACATCTCTCCTCCCCCAAGTTCAGGCTACTTCCATCAGCAGAAGAGCAGACAGGGCTTAACTTGGCTACTTTCAACCACCTGAGAAGTCAGTTATGCTTCTTCTACAGCCAGGGACCAATGCAATGTGTAAAATCAACTCTGGAAAACACTTCAAAGCCACCTCTGAGAAAGAGCTGACAGCCTAGACAATGAACACCTGGGGTCTGATGAATCCTACTGCTGATATTCAGAGGACCTGGATTTTTGCTGCTTGTCCCACTTACTCTTTTTTTCCTTGACAGCATCAACATCTCGCTTCACACCTATCCTTCTTGAAAATTTCAATTCCAGTTCTGCCTGAAGCCTGTTTTTAAAACCTCCATCCTTGTGTTTGGGAAGGGGACTCCAGCACATCAGAAGTCCATTTTTTCTGAAGTATTCCAAACATCTCAGCTGAAGAAAAGGGATACAACTAATACCACAGTCACAAACATCACTGCTCGAGGCAGATAAGGAAGTTCTTTTTGTCCTTTTTCAAATGGAAGGGAAAATACAAAAAAGCCCAGGAGGACACAGAGGGAAAGTCAAGCTTCCTCAGACACAGAAGAATCCACCACGCTCACATTCCTCATCCCTGAACAATGCACCCCACGGCATTAAGCCCAGACTTGTCATAGCTGAGTACAGTCCCCCTTAGGTCTTTCAATTGAGATGGCATTTGTAAAATTGCAGGCTTGAAAATTGCTAGATATTACTCTTAAAGTCACCACTCAGAGTCAGAAAGCAGGCTTCTATATAGTCAAGCAGAGGGCCGTGCTATGGCTATTCTGCATCACCACTTCCAGTAACTGCACGCTATAGATCAATCAGGACTTGCTTGTAATCCAAAAATAACTTCGAGCAAACTTAAAGGACTCTCTGAAAACGTGATGCCAAGTGTAATCCAGAGCCTTTGCATTTAACCTCCAGAACAGTCAGTACCCACTCACGCAGGCTGCAGGCTTCCTCCAGCTGCCAGGATGAAAGCCAAGTCACTCGTGTTCCAGCAACCACCTTTTCCTAAGCACATAGCACAAAAGCCAGGTTAGCTAGCCCTTCTCCTTTACATTTAGCACATGCACAGCAGAGTGCATTCAAATTGTGTACTAGGGCAAAAGTAACCCATAGAAAAAGCTTAAAAAAAAAAGATTTTAGTCATAGCAAGCATTTTTGATATTTTCACAGTTCAGTGCTAACTAGGCTGGTTGGAAGCCCCCTCTATATTGCTCTCCATGTCAGGCAGAATTTATAAGGGATGTCAGCTTGGCAGGGGTACAAAGGACATAGTTTTGGGCAGGCATATCCCCCTGCAACACAGCTGCACAACCACCTTTTTATTCTCAGTCTTCTCCCCCTGAGGAGTAGCACAGCACCGGTGCCAGCAGAATCAGGCTGACCTGAAATCCCTGCACTCAAATCTGGTGCTCCCCATGCCACTTGCTTTTTGAGCAGCTCTCCTCTCCCCCTCCCAAAACACTTGGCCTATAGAAACCAATCCACCACTTAAAGCAGACACCACAGCTCAATGAGGGTAGAAGTCCCATGGGTTCAGTTTTCACTGCTTACTCTGCACCAATGCCAACACTGCTGTCCCACAGCACCTCCTCCCCTTCATGAAGCTGCCTTATAGCACACATGAATATTGCTAAATGCTTTGGGGAGACTGTTTATAGAGTTACCTGCTCCAGGGCCAAGTGCCAGAGCTTGGCACACAACAGCATTCCCCTCTGTTGTGGGCAGATTGAGAATAATTTAAATACAACACTGGATGCCCATACACAATTGATGCTTTGTTGCACTTCCCCATCAAAGGGCCAATTTTTTCAGCAAGCATACTTCTGGTTAGGACCAAAATACAACCAAGTTTCACCAACACCGTGTTGTCCTGTGGCTTGCTGCTCCTCTTGGAGTCAAGAACAGGGACTAGCCTACCTCAGCAAGCTTATCAAGCAAAAAACAACCCAGGGCTGTAGTCCTACATGCACATGCTCACCCTCCTCAACACAGCAAGGGAGACAGACACAGTGATTGCATTTGCTGATGCAAAGCTACACTTGCACCAGGTGAATCACTGGTTTTACTCTGCAGGAACCTGACCTTTATCAGAGGACTACTAACAGGCTGGTTTTTTCCCCTTCATTTCCAGTTTATGTCAGTGCAACTGGTGGGGAGATTGATTCCAGACTGCACAGTTAAAATCAAGAGGCATATCTGACACCAGAAGTCCCTCCACACACTTCTTACCACCAGCAACTGCTGGAGAACAGCCACTGACCTGTACAAACCACAGCCCTGACTCACCTCCAGCACTGAATCAATGTAGAACATCAAAAAAAAGCTCTAAAACCCCTGCATCATAGGAAATCCCAGAGGCACACGAAAGCTACTTGGAGACAGTACATGCACCGAAGAAAACCCATCTGATTTCTCAGAAGAAAGACTTGTCATTAGGAGATCTCTCCTCCAGTGATCAGTCTGTAGCACCAAAAGCAATGGCAAGTCCTCAGGCCCCAAATGCAGAACTGAGTCCTACTGGGCCTGATCTAGGCTCTTAAACACTTTGTTGTTGTTTTTTCCTAAAAAAAAAAAAAAAAAAAAAAAAAAAAAAAAAAAAAAAAAAAAAAAACAAAAAAACCTTAATTTTGCAAGGGCACAAACTTGACAGCCTTGTGCTGTACAGCCCAGGTGACTGCATCAGATAGGTACGCATTCACCATGGGGTGCTGCTTTTTTCGTTTGGGGGGGGGAAAAAAAAGGGAAAAAGGAATCAGGACACTTCATACAGATGGTTGAAGAACAGCTCCCAGCATCTAACTTTCATTAGATTTTCCAAAAATCACTCCAAAAACCTTAAAACTGAAAATCAACATGCTCATAGTGCAGCCTGGAAGGAGGGGAAAGCAGGGTCAGCCATTTCACCCCGTTTGTCATCCTCCCAAGCTCTGGTGGCAGGGTGACACTCACCAGGTGGCATTAGGCGGCACCTCCAGGTTGACGTTGACGAAGAACCTGATGCTGTCCCCCGAAACGATGGAGGAGTTCACAGCGTCGAAGAGCTCCTCTCCCCCTGCCTCCTCCTTGGCCTCGCAGCCATCGTCCGTGTCGCACTTGAGGTACCCTGCCGACAAGAAGGACATGAAGTTAGCCATGCTGTGTGCTGTGACAGAGCCATGGGGACATGCATACGCACTGATCATCACCACTAAGGGCCAGAGCCAGGCAGCTGTAGAGGCACCAGGGCCTCACGAGCGCCTTCTCTGAGCCTTCAACTGGCAACTGCCACAGGGAAGCAAGAATCGGCTTCCACAAGGCTCTGTTGGTGATGCTGAGGCCTGTGTCCAAAATGGCCGCTCCACGATACAGCCTGGCACATAAACATGGGCCTGCTTTGGGTGTGGGGTCAGGGCGAGTGGCAGCCCTGGCACCAGCGGTGTCACCAGGGGCTGAATGCCACCAACCAAACCTCCTCAGCACACCCTGAACCTGGAGCAAACGGTTTCAGATCAATTCTGTATGACCCCACCAGTGGGGTCGGCACACATTGAGTTTCCAGGTGCACCACCAAGCAGTTACTTTTTATTGTTTGCGGAAATTCAGACCATGCATGCAGTAAATCAGCTCCAAATCCATTAGGCACCACCTCACTGGGATCAAAAAACCAGTATGAAAACAGACTGGGGTTCAAAATGTTTGTAGTTTTCAGTGACCCTGAAGCAAGCACAGTGCCACAGCCCTCCCCGGCCAAACCCTGTGTGTTCACCCACTGGCAGGGTGGTTGCTGTGCTTGCATTTTAGCAATTTAAAACAGAGAGGGGAAAAATGGTTTCCAAGGAGACACCCAATGCAGATGGACAGACAGACTTGTCGCTCCCCACAGAGCCAAGCAGTAGGTCACAGAAGGTGGCAGCACCGAGAGAGAGAGACAAGTTTCTTAATTACAGCAGACAACTCCTTACCCTTTCGCAACGTTTCTAATTAGAGTTTAACCTAGTCACATTCAACAGCAAGCTGGTTCACTGCAACATTTTATTATGAAGCAGCTGGAAAACTCTTGTGGTGTGCTCATGTATCATGTATAATTAGAAGAATTAGGGACATTATAGAACGTCAATTTTTTACATTACCAGGATTATTCAGCAGCTCCTACCCATCTTCTGACAAGTCTTTTATGCCTAATTTGAAGCAGGAGGGATATATTTCATTAGCTTGCTTTAGGCACTATAGCAGAATGAAAAGGGTGAGCTTCAAGGCAGGAGCCTGAATAGAAACCCTAAAATATTGATGGCTTTTTTTTAAAGCTTCATACGAGCAAATGTAGATGCAGCAGCACCAAGAGAAGCAGCTAAAAACAGCTGCACACAATCTTAGGGATCTCGAGCCAACAGCTCACCACTGCAAAAAAAAAAAAAAAGTTGTGAGCGGGGAAGCCACAAACAGGAACTGTGAGGCAGGACAGGGGCTGCAGCGCTTCCTGCTGCGAGCCCTGCACCAACACGGGCTCGTCCCGACCGCTCTGCATCTCCCAAGGAGGACTCAAAGACAAAAAGGGGCTCAAACTTTCACGTGACTTCTAAGCCACTTTTCTGATGTGTTAGAAACTTATCAAAAAAATCTAATTAATTATCCCTCTCCACCTCTGCCTCCATCTGCCTGCTCAGCAGTAGGAAGCATGAACCAGTCCCATCTGAACAACTCTGAAGGCTTCAAAATGCACTCAAGCCCCTGCTGTCCCCATCCAGCTTGTCAGACAGCCAGTAATATGCACCAAGGGCTCTGTCTTCTGCTGCTGCTGGAGCTCAGGCAGCTGTTTCCATCCCTGCACGATGGAAATTTGCCCAAAACAGCCAGAAAGAAGAGGGACAAGGAGAGCATAGGAGACACAAACACATCAGGTATGAAATAGGGTTGGCAGACATACCAGGACTGAGGGACAGCCTGTGCCCTGGAGGGATAGACAAGGGCCAGGCAGGCTGCCTGCCAGCACTACAGACTCCTGTACAAGCATTTCAGCCTCAAGCAACGTGCAAAACCTGGGGTTTAGCTCCTCCAAAACACTTAGTGGACACCATAACCTCTCCTCACCCATGCTGAGGGACCACTGGTGTTGACACACCCCTGATACCAAGAAGCTTAGGCAGCCCTGCAACACAAAAACAGCCACAGGTGGGCCAAAATTCATGATTCTGGCTCTTCCATCTCAGCTATATCCTGGATGGCAACCCCAGGGAAGATGTCACAACAGGTCTGTGCCTCATCTTTCCTGAGGTGGGTCAGACAGGAGGCACACAGTCATTTAAGCACACTTTAGAGCATGAGATTGAATTTTCCCACCACCTCATCTCAAAACAAATAGGTAAGAGCCAAGCATTAAAACTTCTGCATTTGTTTCCCTATCCCAGTGCAACTGGCTCGATAGGAGAGCAGTAGTGGTAAACCCTGAAAGCAGATAGGGCTGGAGATAGGAGAGAAACTGTGCAGGAGCTGGAAGAAGGGCAAGGGTGGAGTAAGATCACAGGGCTGGGCAGAGGTCAGTGAGGACTCTGGCAAGGGAAGCATCCTCAGTTCCTCCCTCCTTAGGGAAGGAAAGAGCAAAACAAAAGGCAGCCGAGTCTTGTGTCCCTTGGGCAAGGGACGGACAAAACACACTGCTTGCAAATAATCCCAAACCTGGGCTGTACAGGAACTGCACTCCCAGGCAGGTGTCTGCTTTATCACTAAACCACCTCAAGGCTTCAACCCAGGCTGTTTTGAATTCATCTGCTTAAGCCTGCCAGGTATTTTAAAATGCAAGCAACTTATACCTGTCAAGCACAGGGTCTCCTCGAGGTAAGGAGATGAGCAGTGTGCGTGGCAGATGCACCTTCCCTGTGGACACAGAGCTTGAGAGCCACCTCCAGCCCCAGCAGCTGCTTTCCCCTCATCACCCTAAGGGCTGCCAAGTGCCACCCCTGCTCCTCGAGGGGTGGCAGATGCCACAAGCAACAGCAGAAGCAATTCTGTTTCTCTGAAAGCTTTGGCAGTGTTTTGCAGAAGTTTGGAGCAGGATCTGATGCGGCCATTGCATAATTTGTGAAAATATTGATCGTGCTTCCATATGGAAGAACTCTGGAGCTTTGTGGCTTGTGCTAGGAGTAGTTCCTTATGGGATGTGGTTAGACACCTTTTGTGCCTTAAATTGGCTGGGGAGGAGTTAAAGACCTCCAAAGCAGCACCTCGACACCCCATCTCTATCTCTGCAGATTGCTATCTTCATAGGAAGGCAGCGCTTGCTGAAATGCCAGGAGTTACATGACAGGGTGAGTCAGACCCCTGAGCACAGGAAAGGCCACTGCAGCCTGAAACAGTCTAAAACCACTACAGAAAAGAGATTTTGCTGAGCCTGAGGCTAGATTTAGGTAGAAAGGCAAAGGCTGCTGAGAAGATCAGCACAGCCCTCCTGTACCTTGAAGAGCACCTTGTGGTCACAGGATGATTTCCCCCAGCCCTGCAGGACCCACCTCACAGGGGACAGAAATGAAAAGTCACAAAGAGTCCACGAGGCCAAGCACAGCAGGCACCATCCTACTGAAACAAAATCTGCTCCTCACAGTGGGCAGCCAGAAGGAGCTTTGACCTTAAGTCCTTCTGCACCTCAGCTCATCACTTGCAATAGGAAAATAAGCCACCTTTGCATTTTATAGGGTGGCTAGGAAAAAAAAAAAATAGTTTTTCTAGATGTTCTCCTCCAAAGGATCACTGATCCTAACTCTCCTCAGTCTCCCTGGAAATCATGCAGGGCCCAGGACCATCTCAATACCCATCCCCAGCCTCAACTTCACTCCAGTCACCACCCCAGTTCTGTTTCTATCAACCCTCTCACAAAGTGTTTACCCTGCAGATATTTTGCTTTTTATCCAGACTTTAAGAGCCCTGGGCTCTGAACTGGAAGAGCCCTGAATTGAGCTGCAGCAAGTGGAGGTGGCATCACCTCTCCCACCACTGTCTAAGCAGCACCTGGCAGCTGCAGCAATAAAAATCAGTGGAGGAATAGTTATCACAAAGTACAACTCCAACACCATGCACATTCCCTCGAAAAGCTTAATTGCTCCGTGGGAGCAGCTCTCACAGCCCAGGGGCTGCAGGCTTCTCCAAGGAAGCCGAAAGTCTTAATCAGAAAATTCTCCTGGGAAAAAAGCAGCTATGTTCCTAATGACATCATCCCACATGCCAGGCTATGAGACTCATGCCAGACACAGCCCCAGCAGAACCTTTTGGTATGCCTCAGAGGGGACACAAAGCCAACCATGTTATTTTAAATCAACATCTGCAAGCATGCACACTATCCAGGAGGTTAGTACAAATGCATCCATTCACACCTCACTGCAAACTGTTTTGATGCTTCAGCTGCCTTCCTGTGCTAAGGAAGGGTTTAGGGGGAAAATTGGGAATTTTTGCTTTACTGTTACCTAAAAATTGCAGTCTAGGTGTGTGTGTATTACACAGGAGGAATTGTTTCAGTATAGATTGCTGCTACTGTTTAGACAGCAGTAGCATAGATGAGAGTAAGATACACATCCACAGTTTTCCTATTTTACTCTACCAATCTGGCTAAGATCAAAGCTTATCGAGAGTTGCCAACTTCTGCCAAATCTTTGCAAAAAGTTTTATTTCTGAATATGCCATATGTGATCCTTAACACTAAAAACTCTCAAAGCAGCTTTTCTGGAAAGATTGATTTTTATCCTCAACATCCAAAATTGCCTAAACTACAAGCCTGGAAAAGCAGACAAGTACCTGTTTGCACAGCAATGTCAATTCCTTCACCCAAATCAAACTCCAGCTTCCAGAATACTGGGATGGCATCCGCCCTTCTGAAGTGGTAGCTGTCCCTGCCCATGAAATCTCT